CAGCCCCTCACTGGGGAATTCTAAGCAGGGGCTCTTCCATGGAGCCATGCCTTCAGCCCTTTTCCTTCTAAGTTTATCTTAGAGTTAATCTGGGAATAGTTTATCAAGGTCTCAGTTCACAGGTACCCTCCTCCAGGAAGTCCTCTCTGATACCCCAGATCTGACTAACTGTTTATTAGGGAGTCCTACAACCCCTTAAGCTTATCTCATCCCAGCCCTGCTCAAGCTGCTAGTACCTGGAGATCCATCTGTGTCCCCACCAGCCTGGGAGTCCTTTAAGAATATAGTGTCTTGAGGGAGGATCTCTGTGAGTGTGAGGTCAGTCTGGTCTACGTGGGATTTCCATACCAGACAGGACTACATAGTGAGACCCTGTCTCAGAAGATTAAACAAAACAAAACAAACAAACAAACAAAGGAAGAAAAGAGAGGGAGGCCTGCCTGGATGACCAGTATCCCCAGAAAAGTCTAGGGGCTTAGGACACAATTATTGTCTATTTAGAACAGGATCATGAAAAGGGGGGAAAGAAGAAATGCCAGTTAGTGGTACACACCTGGAGGCAGGAGAATTAGGAGTTCAAGGTCACCTTCAGCTAAACAGTGCATGCAGTTCAAGGCCAGCCTGGGCTCAGACCTTGTTTTAAAAGGTCTCATACAGGAAGGGTGTATAGGTGGGCCGCAATGTTCAAATGTGATCTCAAAGTTAAAGTGAAGGAAGCAGGGGACTTCCAGCAGTGGGAACAATGTGTGGAGGCAGGAACGGCAATTGGGGTGGGGTGAGGGGACACTCAGGCCTCACTGCAGGACAGTCAGGGCAGCAGAGGGTGGCAGACCCAGCCTGAAGACAGGATGCTATGAACTGTGTGAGTTCCTGAAGGCTACAGGGAGGCAGAGGACCTGCCTAGGCACAGTGCAGCTACTGAGGCAGCTTCTGGAAAGACAAAGAATTGAGACAAATAGGTCTAGGAGGGAGGCAAGTGAGGACAGATCCATAAGCCAAAGGGGCTAAAATAAAACTTAAAACTCAGCAAGAAGCAAGTCAAACATTGTGGGTTTGACTTGACTTTGCCATTACTCAGCACAAGATGTCTTTCTGTGCCTCAGTTTCCCCATCTACAAAACAAAGATGAGAAGGGAGTGTTAATCTGCCGGTACTGCTCAGCTCCAAAAGTACACAAAAGTCACTAGGGAAACAGAGGCAGGAGGATCAAAAGTTCCAGGTCATCCTAGGCTACAAAGGGCTCAGGTAAAGATGGCCAAACACCTTTAATACCAGCACTCACAAAGCAAAGGTGGGTGATCTGTGAGTTCGAGGCCAGCCTGGTCCACAGAGTGAGCTCCAGGACAGCCAGGGCTACACAGAGAAACCCTGTCTCAAAAAAACAACCAACCAAACAAGGGAGGGTGGGTAGGCAGGAGAGTACCGTGGGTAGGCTTATAATCCCAGCTACTTGTGAGGCTGACTGAGATAGGAGGACGGTAAATTCAAACCTGCCTGGAAGACACACCAGGTTCAAGGCCTAGACAACAATGGAAAACCCTGTCTCAAAGTAAATGCTGAGAAAGTGTTCTGAGAACATTGCTCAGTAGTATACTGCGTGCCCTAGCATGCACAGGGTCCTAGGTTCATTCAGTTCCTCAGGTTCAATAACACACACACACACACACACACACACACACACAAATAAAAACACGGCTGGTGAGATGGCTCAGCAGGTAAACGTTCTTGCTGACAAATCAGACAACCTGTGTTTGATCCCTGGACCCCACATGGTAAAAAGGAGAGAAATGACTTCCCCAGGTTGTCTGTGACCTTCATGAGCACACTGTGGTGTGTGCACAGCCACACACCAATAAACATAAGAAATAAGTAAAAATACAAGAAACAAAACCGCAGAGAAGTAGAAGGTACCCTGAGCTGGGCATGGTGGAGGACAGTTGTAATCCAAGCACTCCAGAGGCTGAGGCAAGATTATTGCCTTAAATTCAAGACCAGCCAGGGCTCGAGCCACACAGCAAGTTCCAGGACAGCTTGTACTGCCTAACAAAGACAGATGGGAGAGGAACACAGAAGAGTGGAGGACAGGAGGGAAGGGAGACGGGCACCATCAGTTCCAGTGTATGAGAGGAGTCTTTTTGGAGTGGGGGGGTTCATTCTGCAGTTTAGGCACATTTCAGATTTAGGCTAATCTTTTGCTTCAGCCTCCCAAATGCTGGGATTACAGACATGAGCCACAGCGCCGAGACTAGTGGTCACATTTTGTGTTTGTTTATAGACAGGGCCTCCCTACGTCATCACTCTGGCTGCCTAGACTTCACTGTGTAGACCTGTGTAGATCTGCCTGCCTCTGCCTATGGAATAGAGGGCGTGTACCACCACGCATCTCCTAGAGGGTAAATCTTGAAGTGTGTCACCTCCCTGGATGGGATGAGGGGTTTCATCTCCTGTGCCTCAGCTTCCTCATCTGTAAAAAAGGAACACAATAGTACGTGTCACACAGCTGCCATGAGGGGTAATGAGCCAGCGGAGCGTGCAGGAGTTTGACAGCTGCAGCCATCCACATCACTGTTGTTATTGGTTACCCGCTCGCACCTCAGCTGCGCAGATGTCAAGGCGGTGAGAGGGCAGGCACAGGGAAGAGCCACGGCAGAAGGCCCTGTGTGCTGCCTCTTCTGCGTGGGCATCGGCGAGTCTGGGCAGGTCTGTTTCTCACAGCTGGGATCACATGTGTAAGCATGTCCCCCAGGGAGGTGCCCAAGCTAAGGGGCGGCGGGACTGAGAAGGTGGATTTCAGGGCCCAGTAGGACTCCACCAAGAAGCTGTCAAGCAGATGGACTCTGCACCCCATCTGAGGCTCTTTTCCACACCTGTGTCTCCTCTGCCTTCTCCCTCCCTGAACCTGCCCTGCTTGCTCCTCTGATTCACCAGGGGAGAGCCACACCCAAGCTGGGGGCGAAGGTGGAAGATGTAAATAAGTCTGAAGGGGCCCCTTGGGGAGCAGGGGACTGCAGGAGACTAGGTGGGTACCTGGGTAGGCCGAGGATCCCTGCGCATTTTGCCCTTTGCACATCTAATAAAAAGCTAGTGCTGGCCAGTCTGTCGGTGCAGGCTCTGTAGGACTGAGGCAGCAAGATCATTATCACAAGTTCAAGGACAGTCTGGGTACATGATGGGTATCTGGCTGGGATGAGGATCCTTGAGCATTTTGCCCTTTGAACTTTTTTTTAAGATGTTTTTAAAATTACGTGTACGTGGGCAGGCATATGTGACTTCGAGTTCCTGCAGAGATCAGAGGCATTGGATCCCCTGGGAGTGGAGTTACTGGCAGCTGTGAGTCGCCCATAGAGCTGGGAATCCAGCTCTGGCTCTCTACAGGAGCAAAACTTGCTCTTAATTGCTCAGCCATCTCTGCAGCCCCCTCCTCATATATACATGAAAGCTGGAGGCAGATGGGCTTGTTGGCTCATACCTGTCACCCCAGCCCTTGGGAAGCTCAAGGTAGCAAAACCATCGCTAGTTCAAGGCAAACCTAGATACATGTTGGAAACCTGGCAATCCCTGACTACTTGGCCCTTTGAACATCTAATGAAAGCTGGAGGCAGCAGGTTGTGTTGGCTCAGGCCTGAAAGCCCAACCTGGAAAAGGCTTATGAGGGGGGCTGGAGAGATGGCTCAAAATACTTGGCTCAAAAGCATTTAAAGAGGGCTGGGGTTCCATTCCCCGCACTCAAATGGTGGCTCACACCATCCGTAACTCCAGTTCCAGGAGATCTGACCCCCTCCTCTGACCTTGCCAGGAAGCAGGCATCCAGGCACATAACAAACACACACATACATTCAGGTAAAAACACTCATACACATAAAATAAATAAGTCTAAGTACAAAAATAAATACATCTAAAAAATAAAATTAAAGAAAAGGCTTAATGCATCAGAACAGCCACAAGTTCAAAGCCAGTCTAGCTTCATAGTGAATATGGACAAACTCACTACGGGTTTGGCATGATGGGTTTGGCAGGGGTGTGGCATGATGGCACACACCCCCGTCCCTAATTTCTGAATGGCAGAGGCAGAATGGTCTTAGCAGCTTCTGCAGGCCAGCCTGATCTACACAGCAAACTCTTTCTCAACAGGAAGCAGGGGTAGAGTGCAGGGGGGAGGGGCAGCACAGTGGAGCATGTGTTATCCCAGAGGCTGGATAATCAGGAGTTCAAGGACAGCCTCAGTAATGTACAAAGTTTGAGACCAAGACAGGATACAGAAGAATGTCTAAAAAAAAAAAAAGGACAAACAGGCAAGAGTTCCATCAATCAATTCCATCTCAGAAGGAATCTGCATCCCTTCTAGCTTACTGATCTTACTGGTGCTCTTCAGAGTAGGGCTTCGGGTCCCCTCTAGAGGACTCAGCAGACGCCACAGACCTTTTACATAAAACTGTGTGTTCACAGGCTCACACATAGACTCAGAGGTTCCCAGGCACAGTCAGCCTATGATCCTCCCCTGCAGACCGCCCCCAAGAACTAGTGACAGAGGAGAAACTGGAAAGACAGAAATGAAAAGAGCAAAGAGTCGGGGGCTCATGAAATGCATTAGTAACCTGTCTGTCCGGGGAAGGCGGCCAGTGAATGGAAGAGATATCTAGAGATGTCATTGCTAGCAGGTGGCTAAGAATCACCTGGAAAGCATTTTCTAAGCCAGGGCAGAAACAACGGGAGGGTAAGAGATTCGGGGTCATGCTCTCCGGAAGAATGGGGTCTACTCACTCCGGATCTGTCTTCAGGGTCGCTGGTACCTCCACCCCCGGCCACCAAGTCATCCTCAGACTCATCAAAAGAGGAGGCGGAAGAGAAGCCGCCAGTGCCCCCCTCAATCCGGGATGGGGGTCCCACCGGCTGGGCCTCAGGCTCGGGAGTCTCAGGGGTGATGATAAGACGGGGCACAGGACACAGGGAGCCGCAGTCCAGGGGGGAGCGCAGGTTAGTCACCAACTCCCCGGACTCTGGTGCCTCCAATGGGTCATCTCCATTGGACTCCCCCAACACGCTGTCAGCCCAGGGACTATCAGTGCCAGGTCGAATCCAGGCACCGTCAGCGTCTTGTGTGGAAAAGCCATCGCTTCCAGGCTGTTTCCAGGCCGTCTGGGTACTCTGTCCCGTGGGGGAGCCATCAGGTGGCGACCCGGTCCAGAAGCCGTCGGTGTCACGTGGTGTCCTGGAGCCAGCCGGGATCCACGCTTTGCAGGGGGCATCAGTACCTGGTTCTGGTGAGGGGCAGACTCGGTCTGGGTGGCTCTGCAGTTTGGACGTGCTGTGGCAGGTCCGGAGATGATCAACCCAGGGCTTGTCCCTCTCTGGCTGAGTCGGCCACAGCTCGACTCTTTCCAGGTCGGTCCAGGACTCATCAAACGCTGGTTGGGTACACAGGCTGGCTCTCTTTGGCCGACACTGGAGGTCGGATCTGTGAGGATCAGTCCGAAAGCCACCCTTCCAGGAACCGGCCGCCTCCATCTCTGCCCAGGGACCGTTCATCTCTGTATGTGTCGGGAGGTTGGACCCGTCCAGCTCCCTGTTTTGGCTGGGTTTCTCCGATTCTGCTCCCAGGCCTGCTACTCCGCACTCCGCGTGTCCGTCTCCACAGGATTCTGCCTGGGGACCGCCTGGACGCGGCGCAGGCCCGAGGCCGGTCCTCTCCGCCTCGGAGTGCAGGCTGGACCCCTCAAGCCCGGCCCGGGGACCGCCCCCCTCCGGCCGTCCCGCCGGGCCACCTGCTCCCGGCCCAGGTCGCTGCAGTCCCGGCTGTCGCCGCCGCCCGCCCCGCAGCGCCTCCAGCCCCATGCGGGCCTCGGCGGGCAGCGCGCCGGCCTCCGCCTCGCTCAGGCTCCCCCGGCACGGGCAGCGCCTCATGCCCGCTCCCTCGGCTCGGGCTCCGGCCCGTCCGGCCCCTCCTTCCCCTTTAAATCCTTCGAGGGGTGTGGCCGGGGAGCCCCAAGCCGTAGGTTCCGGCCCGCAGAGCTCCGGGCCGCCCGGATACACAGGGGTTAACCGATACTCCACCTCCCAGGGAAAGCCCTAAACACCGCCCTCGCCGGATGTGACGAAGTGCGCCGGGACCTCGGCTGCCCCCGCGTGGGGCCCTGGGGAAGGAGTGTCCGCTCCCGATGCTGGGCTCGGCCTGGGTCGAAGCGGGCCCGAGTCTGGGTCTCACGCCAGTGGGACCTTTCCCTGCATCATTTCAGCCCCTACTCCAGAGAGGGAGAACCACGCACCCACGCAACATTCAGGGACGAGGTGGACTTTCCAAAGACTTAAGACTTTGGGAGATGGGCATCGGGGGTTCAGTTCAAGTTCATCCCTAGCTATGTAGTCAGTTCCGAGCCTACACACACACACACACAGGAGGAGGACCAGCACTCTGGAGGCAAGAAGCAGACGGATCAATGAATTCTGGGCCCTCCAGGACTACACAGACCCTATCTCAGACACCCCCTGCTCCCCAATACAGACACAAAGGGGAGGGGACTGAGAGATTTGAGTTTGGTTTCCAGCCCCCCGTCTGTGGCTCGCAGTCATCTGTAAATACAGTTCCAGAGAGTGGACACCCTCTTCTGGCTTCCTAGGGGCTATGCACAGAATGCACAGACATACATGCAGGCAGAATCATCGAGACACAGAAAGTAAAAGTAAATGTTTTTAAGCGGGGCATGGTGGCTCACACCTTTAATCGTAGTGCTCAGGAGGCAGAGGCAGATGGATCTCTGGGAGTTTGTGTCAGTTCCAGGTCAGCCAGAGCTACATATAGAAACCCTGTATCAAAGTGATGATGATGATGATGATGATGATGATGATGATGATGATGATGATGAAATAGGTAAATCTTTTTTGGAAAAAGAGTTCCAATGTTTCAAATAACAAATCTCCTGTCTAGACCGTGGTGAGGGCACATTCCTGTAGTCACATCGCTCCGGAGGTAGACGAGATGTTCCCTAGCTCAGCACCTCAACCTGGGCTGCATGGTGAGAACCTATCTCAGAAACCCGAGGCTGGGGATTTACTTCTATAGCAGAGCACGCCCACTGGGTCTTGGATTTGTAAATAAGTAAACAAATGACAATGATCTGTGTCCAAAGGACCTCCGTGCCTGGCTCTGACAATAGATCACGACCTCTGTCAGCCACTGTGAGCGGAAAGGGATGCTACCACACAAGGTTAGTTTGTTCTTTGATTGCGTGTGTGTGTGTGTGTGTGTGTGTGTGTGTGTGTGTGTGTGCAGGTGCATTCAAGTGCCTTTGAAGGCTAGGAGGCAGTGTCAGATCTGGAGTTAGGGATGGTTGTATGCTCCCCAGGTGGATGCTGGGAACTGAACGGCCCTTCTCTAGCCTTGGTAGTGTCTGCTGTGAACTTGGGCATGTGAAGGATGTGGTACGAGGGCTCTGTGAGCCATGTCCTGCGGGATTATTGTCTGAGCTGATTTTTCAGCCTGTCCCTTACGGTGAGCAGCGGGCAGCTCCTGAGTCAGACTCCCACCTTTGGGGAGGACAGCAGGTACTCTCAGTCTTGAAACTGACTCACCCATGGGAGGGACACTGAATACGCACAGACCCAAGGCGCCAGGGTGAGTCATCTCTTCACAGGCTAATGAAAAGTCAGAGCCGGGAACCCACCTCACACATGATACAGATTAGAGAACATGAGGTCCAGAGGTGGAGGAGGGCCCTTCTGAGGTCACACAGCACAAGAAGGCCTAATTCCCGACAAAGGAGGTGGGGCTGAGAGGAACACATTTGTGGGTCTCCCTCTCTTCATTGGTGGGAAAGGTGCCCAGCCACCAGCTGTTTCTCTTCCAGACAACAAGAAGACTGAGTCAGTTTTCTTCCACGCCAAGATTCCTGACTCAGCTCTGGGAGCCTTGACTGAGTATGTTCTGGGAAATGTCCTGCCTTCAGGAAACAGGGGCTCCCACGGCCTTCCATCTCCCAAGTGGGCGGGGAGTGGAGAGTAGGGTGCAGGAGGGAACACAGGCACAGCATGCCGCCGCCAAGGGGAGTTATGTTGAAGACCTGAGCAGGAAACAGCGCATAAGCAAGGCAGTGGATTTATGTGTGCAAGGAAGGAGGCTGGGTGCCAGGGTGTGGGTGCTGGTGCAAAGTGGAGAGACTTGGAAGAATGAGTTTAAAGATTGCTGGGGGTGTGTCTCAGGGGTAGGGAATCTTATTTCGTATGCACGAGTCCCAGAGTTTGTGCACCTGCTGGAGGAAACAAAACCAAACACACAGGGTAGCTTTTGAGCTTGCCAGGAGGAAATGCGGCTGGATGTGATGGTGCAAACTTGTGATTTCAGCAGGGGGAAGTGGAGCCGTGATCAGGAGTTCATTGGCTACAAGAGAGAAAAGGGGCAGAGAATGGGCACAGAGGACAGAAGGCCTAGAGGGAGAGAAAAAGATAGGGGTAGAGGAGACAAGGAAGATGCTTTCAAGAAAGACGGGCTGTACACGCGTGGCTCACGGGCGTTCCGACGGCCACAGAAGACGCACAGAGCTTTTGCGTAGGTTCCACCCCTTTGCCACGCCTCCTCAGTGGAGCGTATTTTGTGACGTCAGCGAGCTGCTGTGCTTCCATTGGCTAGCTGATCGGAGGGGCCGAGCGTACAGACGTTCCCGGAAGCTCCGGAGGCCCAGCGTGTGCCAGACCTGGAGCCTAAGCCCGGTGGACCGGTGCTTAGCAACGGGGGAGGTGCCCCGGAACGGGGTGGTTTGGTTTTTATTTGGGAGGGGGGGTGGGGGGACAGGCGAGTAATTGTGGATTCTTAACAGCCCAGGGTAAGGCGGTGCCTAGCAACGAAAGGGGCTGGGAGAAGTAGAGTAGTCCTGGAGGGGCTGTGGGTGTCTAGCAACCGGGAAGAACCCTAGCAACGGCAGGATGTTTCGGGGGGGAGGGGGGAATTGAGGCGGCGCTTGGGGAAAACATGAGTTGCTAACAACTTGGCGGGGGGCGCAACTAGGAGAAACTTGCAAATCAATTAACAGGAGAGCTGAGGTAGGGAGGGGAGGAGGACCTTTCAAAGAACGGGCAAACGGCAGGCCGCGTCCTGAGTCCTTATTTCCTTATCATTTCTTAGGCCATGTGGCCGGAGCTAGGTGCCGTGCTGCGCGGGACCTGTGGCCCGCTGGGCAGGACTGTTCGTCTCCCTTGTTGGGGCGCCCTGGGGCCTAGGCCCCGCTGGTGGGTAAGAGGCTGGGGAGGGGCCTCCAAGGGAAAGAGGCTTGACGGGGTAAAATGATGGAGAGAACAAAAACAGAGGCCTAGCCCTCCACCCTACTGAAATCCGCTTCTCTGCAGGGGCCATGTGGGGGTTGTTTGGTCCGAAGTGTTCATCATGAGCGGCCTGGAAGAGGCCTAAGTGAGGACGACATTCGCAGGGCACGGGAGGCCCGGCTCAGGAAGGCACCCCGGCCACAGGTATCATTGCTCTCCCCCGCCCGCCCCCGTGATACCCCGGGAGGCCACTGAACCCTACCTTAAGGCGGTAGCAGGTGGGCAGGGCTTTTCTGCCTCGCTGCCTACCTTACGCCTTTCCCCCTTTCTCAGCTGAGTGATCGCTCTCGAGAACGCAAAGTGCCTGCCACCCGCATCAGTCGCTTGGCCAACTTCGGGGGTAGGTGTGCTTGGGGGGATCTTGGTGTGACCTAGATCAGAAGCAACTTTTGCAGGTGAGGCAAGGGGAAGGCGGCGGGGGAGGGGGGGACGCGACGACCTTCAAACCCCAGCGTGTAAACAGGAGTGTAAACCTTACCGTTTATGGAGAACCTGTAAGGAGCAAGATCGTGTCCAATGTGTGCTTGCTTGTATTGATGGAGGAGTGGAGGCTGAGAGGGGTGAGCTGACCGCACTTTGGGACTGCAGCAGGATTGTTCAAACATATAGGGAGTGAAGGAGTGTGTTGCAGCCAATGCTTGGAGAAAGAAGGAGGCCCGGACACCCACCTGCTCGTTTCAGCAGCTGGGATGTAGGTAGAAGCAGGAAGATGAAGTGCTCAATGTCATCACGGGCTACATAGTGAGTCTGAGGCACCTGGACTACATGAGATCCTGTCTAGAGGAGAGAAGACAAAGGAGGGAGGCGGGGGCTTTGGGCATGGTAGCACAGTCTTTTGTAATCTCTGCTCCTGAGAGGCTAAGACTAGAAGGTTGAAAAGCCAGGCCTGGTAGTGCGTGCCTGGAGGCTCCACTCCCTGAAAGTTTAATTCAAGACCAATCTGGCATGAAGGATCTTGTCTCAGAGGAGGAAGAAAGAGGAAAAAGGAAACAGCACTTGAGAAAATACAGATAAATACTGAGCATGGATACACACGTTTACACACATGTGATGTGTTTGAGACAGGGTCTCACCATGCAGCCCTCGCTGGCCTGAAATCAGGCTGTCCTGGAACTCAGAGAGCCGCCTGCCTCTGCCTCCCAAGCTCTGGGATTAAAGGTGTGCACCACCACCACACCCCCAACACATGCTTTTTGTGGTGATGTCTCCTGTAATCTTGTCTGGCCTCGAACCTGATTGTACCTCCCAAGTGTTCGGATAACAGGCCCTGCTGTCCACAGCTTACTACAGCGTAAATCTCTGCTTCCTCACAGCACAGGTCACGCAGGTCATAGGCCACATGTTAAGGCCCAGCTGAGCATTGTGGGTAGCACCTGGCACCGGTGTGTCCGGGCTCTCGGGATGCTCTCCTGACTGGGCACGCACTTACCTTCCCTGAGTTTCACTTTTCCTTCCTGCAGAATGTGAGCTTTTTCGGTCAAACACGTTCCACAGAGGTGTGAGGGCAGTGAGTTGACACTTGGGGCATAATAGCAGCAGCACGTGGCACGGAGATGCAGGAGCGCATAGCATATTGGCAGATGCCAGCTGCCAGCCAGAGACGGCGACAGCCAAAGAGGCAAGGGGCCCAACATAGCTTTAAGAGCAGGAGCCGAGGTGGGCGCTGTGGCACACCTGTGATCCCAGCACTCCGGGAGGCAGAGGCAGGCGGAACTCTGTGAGTCTGAGGACAGGTGGGATATGCCTAAAATCTCAACACTTGAGACATGTAAGTAGGCAAATCAGGGGTTCTGGTAACACAATGAGTTTAAGGCTAGCCTGGGCTACCTCAGAGTATAGGAAGGAAGGAAGGACGGACGGAAGGATGGAAGGTAAGTGTGAGGTCATCTCTGATAGTAGCAATTAAGGAAGCTTGAGCAGGATGACAGGCTCAAGGCTAGCCTAAATCACATAGCCATTTCCAGGCCAGATGCTAGGGACGTAGAGTTTTTGTTAGCATCTGTGAGTACCCTGTTCAATCCAAAGTACCAACAGAAAAAAAAACAAAAAACAAACTGGGGGTGCAGCTCAGCCAAGACAGTGCATGCCCACTAACTGAGCAACCAGGGTTCTGGCATCCACTGGAGAGGCAGGAGTGAGGGTCTGAGGGACGGTCTGGGTGAGCAGACTCTCAGCTTCCTTTCCTGCTCTTCAGGGCTGGCGGTGGGCTTGGGCCTGGGAGCACTGGCTGAGGTGAGCAAGAAGTACCTGCCCAGAGGAGGTGAGCAGCATGGTGAGTGAAGCCGCTTGCTCCATTCAGCCCCTTGCTCCATTCAGCCCCTGGCCATGAGGGCCCAGGCTGTGCTAGAGTTTGGCTCACCAGAGATGGGTGGTAGGGGTGTGTGCAGCTCAGCTGTAAATCCTTTTATCTAAAACATAGCAGTCACACACTGAAGGTTCCCAGGATTCACATCAGGTGCTCACAACTGTCTATAATTCCAGCTCCCGGGAATCCACCGCCCTCTTCTGGCTGCTCTAAATAAACACATAGGTGGCACGCACACACACCACACACACACACAAACAAAGAAATCTTGCTTGTTTTTTTTTTTGTTTTTGTTTTTTAGGACATCAGGACAGGGTTTGTCTGTAGCCCTGGTTACCCTGGAACTCACTCTTTAGACCAGGCTGACCTCAAACTCAGAGATCTGTTTGCTTTTGCCTTCCAAGTGCTAGGATTAAAGGCAGGCATTACCATACCTGACTTAAAAAAAAAAAAAATCAAGATATTCCGCACTAAAAAGAAATCAAGTCTGTCCTGGCTACAAATCAAGTTCAAAGGAAGCCTGGGCAACTTAGTGAAATCCCATTTCTTTCTTTTTTTTCTTTTTTGTCAAGACAGAATTTTTCTGTGTAGCTTTGGCTGTCCTGGACTTGCTTTATAGTCTAGGCTAGCCTTGAACTCACAGCAATTGCCTGCTTCTGCCTCCCAAGTGCTGGGATTACATGAAATCCCATTTCAAAATAAAAAGGGTTTGTTACTTTTAGATGATAGGAAAGAATTTTTTTTTTTTTCTATTTTAAGACAAGGTCTCTCTATATGGTCCTGGATGTCCTAGAACTCACAGGCTGGCCTCAGACTCAGGGATCTGTCTGCCTGTGCCTCCCAAGTGCTGGGACTAAGGATGTACGCCACTATGCCCAACTTGTGAAGAAATTTTCTGAGGACTCAGCAAGTCTGGGCCTGTAGTTCAATGGTAGAGTGTTTACCTGGAGTGTATGAGTTTCTGAGGTCAGACTCCAGCACCACAAATACGCAGTGAGCACTGGAAAGCAGTTTTTATGTGGCTTTTGTTTACTGATACTTTATTAGATTAGAACTGCAAAGTTAACCTTAAAATTTGATCTATCACCTGTCTGTCTGTCTGTCTGTCCAGGCAGGGTCTCTATGTAGCCCTGACTGTACAGAACTTGCTGTAGACCAGGCTGGTCTCAAACTCAGAAGGTCCACCTCTCTGCCCCCAGAGTTTGTAAGATTACAGACCCTGAGCTTCTGCTGCTGCTGCTCCAGTTGCTTCAGTACTGTGCTTAGAGGCAGCCCCCCACCACCACTGGGGGCGACTCTGTGTCAGTGGGATGTGTGTGTTTAGAACTGTGCAGTCACTCTCCTTCACACCCGGAGGAAGACGACACTGCCTTTGGTCCTGTGCTTCTCTAGAAGCTGTTGGTTAGAGGGCCGTGCTAGCCCATTCTCATCAGCCGCGTCTGAGTTCACGTTGCTGCTCATCTTTGCTGATGCTTGATATTAGCACTTTTATTTTAGCCCCTCTGGTGGCTATGCACTGGTGGTATAGTGATTAATAGGTTCTGCTGTGTTTTCTTTTGCTTTGTTTTCTTCTTGAGACAGGGTCCCCTGTTAGCCCAGGCTAGCCTTGAACTTACAGAGATCCTCCCCTGCCTCTTGTCTACTGATTATTGAAACTACCCTATGCCTAGCTTTTATGTATGTATGTGTGTATGTATGTATGTATATTTCTTACCTTTTAATATTTAGTGTCAACACTCAGGAAGCAGAGGCAGGAGGATTTCCATGAGTTTGAGGCAACCCTAGGCTATATTTAACCCAAACACTTGGGAGGTAGAGGTACATGGATTTCTAGGAGTTTGAGGCCAGCCTGGCCTGGCTTACATAGAGTTCTAAGTCAGGCAAGGAGCCATTGACAGGTTTGTTTGTTTGTTTGGTTGGTTGGTTGGTTGGTTTTTGTTTTTTTTGAGACAGGGTGTCTGTGTAGCCTTGGCTCCTCTGGACTGGCTTTGTAGACCAGGCTGGCATCAAACTCACAGAGATCCACCTGCCTGTGCCGCCTGTGCTACTAAGCCTGGCTGACAGGTGCTTTTGTGCATGTATCACTCAGGCTCACTTCTTTCCATAGAGGTTGTCTCTGGACTGGACTCCAGCCCTTTCCTTTCTGAGGCCAATGCTGAGAGGTTCGTGCAGACCTTATGTACAGTCCGGGGAGCCGCCCTCAAGATCGGCCAAATGCTCAGCATCCAGGGTACAGCCTGAGCCCTCAATTCCTGACCTATGACCTCATTTCCACCCCACACACCCAGCGGCAAGCCCTGAGTTCAGATGCTCACATAGAACACCGTCATCTCCCTCACGATTCCCCTTATCCCACTGTCTCCCAAGACAACAGCTTTATCAGCCCCCAGCTTCAGCGAATCTTCGAGAGGGTCCGCCAGAGCGCTGACTTCATGCCCCGCTGGCAGATGCTGGTGAGTGCCCATTTGGGTGGATGGTGACTTGGTAGCCTGTATTGCACTCTTCTCGACACTTAGTGTACATTACACAAGGTTCTTAGACCGGTCCCTGTCACACGTGAGTGGCATGGAAGTTTGAGCTGTGATTAATTAAAGGAGCTCACCACTAGGACATGATGTAATCCTAATACTTGGAGATGGAAGCCTATCAGGAATTCAAGGTCATTCTGAGCTCCATAGAGTATCCAAGACTAGCAAACAAACCCCACCGAAGGAGACTTTATCCATCAATAGAATAGCAGCATGCCTGGTACTGACTGAAAGATGTGAGCTGTTCTGTAACTGTGGAAGGGCGTAGGCTCCAGCCACCTGCCTGCCTGCCATCTGTGTTCCGCTCCTTCCCCGTGACCTCTGAGGCACTCACAGGCCAGAACCGAAGGAAGCCTTTCTCCATCATGCTACTTTCTGAGTTAATAGTGTGGGGCCCTAACAGGGAATGTTAGCAGTCCTCAGGGACACTCCCTGGACATGGTGGCACTCACCTTTCACGCCACACCTTTCGTAGCACTCAGGAGGCAGAAGCAGGCGGATCTCTATGAGTTTGAAGCTATCTTGGTCTACATAGGGTATTCCAGGCCAGTCAGGACTTGACAGTGAGACCCTGCCTCAAAAAAAAAAAAAAAAGGTACTCCTTGTGTAACTCTGAGTCTTAGGACTGCCTTCTCAGGTTTCTTTCTTCCTTTCTTTTTTCTTTTTTTTAAAGATTGATTTATTTATTATGTATACAATGTTCTGCCTGCACGTGTGCCTACACACCAGAAGAGGGCGCCAGATCTCATTATAGATGGTTGTGAGCCACCGGGTGGTTGGGAATTGAACTCAGGACCTTTACATGAGCAGCCAGTGCTCTTGACCTCTGAGCCATCTCTCTAGACCCCTCTTTTTTTTTCTTTTCTTTTCTTTTTTTTTTTTTTTCTTTTTTTTTGCTTGTTTGTTTGTTTTTGGAGACAGGGTTTAAGGGTTTACTCTGTGTAGACCAGGCTCTGCCTGCCTCTGCCTCCCAAGTGCTGGGATTACAGGCATGCACCACTACCCAGCTCACTTAATAAATCTACTCTTATTTCTTCAACTCAAAGACAAAATGAAACAATAGTGCCTGGCTGGTTGGTCACCTGAGCCTCAGTTTCCATATCTGTAAAATGATGATTCTGCCAAGAGTGAATGCTAGAGTTGGCTAACATAGGAAGCTCCCTAGCTCACACGACAGTACAGGGAATGAACTCAGCTGCCTGGCACTGCCATGGCAACTGTCACACTCGCTTCTTCCAGAGAGTGCTAGAAGAGGAGCTGGGCAAGGAATGGCAAGACAAGGTGGCCTCCTTTGAGGAAATGCCCTTCGCCGCTGCCTCCATTGGGCAGGTACACCAAGCTGTGCTAAAGGACGGGACTGAGGTGGCTGTGAAGATCCAGGTGAGCAGGGAGACTGGGCAGCATGGGGGTGGGCACTATGCTGTCCCGAGGCACGAGTGACTCCCAAACCCCCTCTCCCTCCTGACAGTACCCAGGTGTTGCCCAGAGTATCCAGAGTGACATACAGAACCTGCTGGCCGTGCTCAAGATGAGTGTGGGCCTGCCAGAGGGTGAGGTGCCCCTCGGTCTAGAGAGAGGAGGCGGGGCTAGGTGGAGGACAGCATTGTGAGTGGACATACATCACATGGGTGACGGCGATGCCAAGGGGGGACAGCAGAGAGAATGAGTGAGTGTGACATAGCACAAAGAAACAAGCCCAGATGGAACGCACAGGCCACATGGAGACAGACAGGTGTGCAGCGAGCAGGGAGCCACAGCGAGCAGGGGTCACATGATCACATGTAGAAGACAGCAAGGTGTGTCAGTGGGGAAGAAGGGAGGACGATGTAGACAGGCCTAGAAGTGAGGGAGAGGCAGGGGACAGTATCAGTGTCTGCATAAACAGAATGCAGACACGGCTGGGTTGTAGCTCCGTAGAGTGCTTGTCTGGCGTGCACAATGCCCAGGGTTCAAGGTCATTCTTGGCTAAATAGCAAGTGAGAAGAGGTGCTTCAGGGCTGCGGCAGTTCCTGTGACAGAGCCAAACCCAGGAAACAGACTTCTATGGAAGTCTGTTGTGGGAAAGGCAGAGGGAAGGTGAATCCAAGATGAGCTGGGTTAACTGGGTCTGGTGGCTCACACTTACAGTCTTAGCACTGGGGAATCTGAGGCAGGAGGATTGCTGAAAGTTGCGGTCAAACCTGGACTACAGAGCGAGACCCTATCTCAAATGCAGAGCCTAGTGTTGTCGAATGTCTGTAATCCATTTTTGGGAGGTAGAAGCAGGAGGATTAGGAGGTCAAGGTCAGCCTTGGCTACACATTGAGCTGGAGGCCAGGCTGGGCTACATGAGAGCCTGTCTTTAAGAATGACGAAAGGGGGTAAAAGTGTGAAACAAAGGCAGGTGGGACAGTGAGAAACTTAGAAAGACAAGTGCGTGAGGGACAGGAGAAGACGGGCAGCGTCCTCAGCCGCTGTGGCTGCCCCTCTCCCTCAGGCCTGTTTGCTGAGCAGAGCTTGCAGGCCTTGCAGCAGGAGCTGGCTTGGGAGTGTGACTACCGCAGAGAAGCCGCTTGTGCCCAGACGTTCAGGTAAGTTTACACGCCTGCGGGCTCCTGGGAGGTTCCCTCCCTCCCATCTGGGCTGGGTTGGACTGGGTGTGACCCCTGGCAGTCAGCATCCTTACAAGGGACTGCAGGCTCCTTGTTCTTTCTTTGGTTCTTTTATCTGTCCATCTGTTCCTCATTCTTGTCCTCTGGGGACGGGAGCCGGCCACTCCTCTCAAAGCGGCAGTTTGGATCTCTGTCAAATGCATGGCCCCTGCGGTCTCACAGAGGGGCTCAACTGCATGGTGAGAAGCTGACAGAGCTGCTAGCTGAGAGAGCGTTAGCACAGAGCAGCGGGGGCAGGAGGGGCATACAGTACAGACTGCTCCTTCTGCACAATGGGGGGGAGGGGTGCTTCTGGGAAGCCAGTGCTCACTGTGTGCTTCTGGCTGGCCCGGGCCTTGAACTCACAGATTAAAGGCTACCATGCCAGCTCAACCTTATTTATTTTTATTCTTACATTTTATTTTAAACCAGGCATAGTGATGTATGGCTTGATCTTAACACGTGACAGGCAGAGGCAGGTAGACCTCTGTGAGTTCAAGGCCAGCCTCATCTACATAAAGAGTACCAGGCCAGCCAGGACTACATAGTGAGACCCTGTTTCAAAACAATAGATTTTTTTGCCCGCAGCATGTCTGTGTACCACATGCCTGCAGTACCCACAGAGACCAGAAGGGGGTGTTGGATCTGCCGGAACTGGGATGTTTGTGAGTGGGTGCTTGGGACTGGCACGTGGGTCCTCTGGAAGAGCAGCCAGGGTTTTGAACCAGAGACATCTCTCCCACCCCTCAACCTTATTTTGGGAGAGAGCATTTCTTGCTGAACCTAGAACTCCCGATTTGGCTAGACTGGCTGGCCGGCAAACCCCAGGGACCCTCCTCTGTGTGCCCATTCCGTCCTGGGATCACAGGCACACGCTGTCGTTCAGTGCTGTTTTACATGGTTCTGGGGATCAGAGCAAGTCCTTAGGCTGTACGGTCAGCAGCCTACCTCAGGCCATGTCCTCAGCCCTCGAGAGAGGCTGTGTTCACGTACCGAGCAACCCCCACTGGCCTCTGATAAGTTCTGTGTGGACCGTTATACTACTGTATGCCATCAGAGTTTTCTAGAGTGCTCACACTGCCAGTGTGTGCAGGTCCCAGCCTGGAAACCCAAGTCTGTCACGTCTCTTCAGCAAGACGGATAAGTGGTAGCTTTGTTTCTGAGGCAGGGTCTCAGTGTGTACCCCTGGCCAACTTTGAACTTGCGTCAGTCATTGACTCTGCCTCTCAAGGGGGTGTTTTCAGTACTACTGGTTGGATCTTTTTAAATGTATTTGTTTATCTATTTAAATTATTTTAAATGTATGTTAGACTTTGGATTCCCCCGAAGCTAGAGTTGCAGGCAGCTGTGAGCCACCCAGTGTGAGTGCTGGGGACAGAGCTTGAGTCTTCAGAACAGCAACTGTCTTCCCAGCTGCTGTGTCATCCTCTCGGCAACCCCCGCTCTTTCTTTTTTGAGACAGGATCTCAGTAGCCCTGGCGGTCTCAAACTCACTGTGGCTGGCTTTATACTCCTGATCCTGCTGCCCCACCTCTCCGCATGTGTGTGCACCATGCCTGGGTCTCTGTGGCAGACCCTTTGAGGACAGGGAGAATGACGCTGTGGACGGGAGAGTGGCTGTAGCTTAGGCTTACAGCCATGCGCAACAGTTAAGCAGAACCCCGTCTGAGGACGGTGCTTGGCTGGTGTTTGCCCGGTGTCACATAAACCAGGCATGGTGGCTCATGCCGATAGTCCTAGCATGCAAGTTGGAGAAGCAGGACGAAGTTCAAGGTCATTCTCCAACACATAGCCAATTTTGAAGCCAGCCTGGGCTACATGAGACATCAACTCAAAAGGCAAAACAACAGACACACAAACCTAAACAACAAAAAGCAAGAGACGCCTGGAGAGGGACCTTTACAGTATAGCTCCCAGCATGCCAAGCTTAGGACCCAGGGCGAGGACACAGTCCAGACCACACTTGTACAGGCATGTGTCCTGAACCCTGACGAATGTGAGATGCAGTCTCGGGTCAGCCCTTACCAGGCTGTGTGGCCTGGTTCTGTTCCGTGGCCTCAGGAGAGCACTCTCATAGGGGAGGTGTGCTGATTAAAGTTTAGCACAGGCCTGGCTCTTGAGAAATAGAGCCATATCAGAGAGCACACAAACCAGGACTAAATACCAACTGGAGGAGGACTCTACAAAGCAGAGAGACACTGGATGACAGGCCACAGCAACCCTATCGAGGATCTGAGGACATTCTCCCAGGATCCCCCAAAGCCCTCCTCGGCGTACCTCTGGTACCTGCCCATTGTCTGTTCCCAGCATCCCCTCAGGTCCTCACCCAACTTCTTCACTTCCTGCTCAGCTTGGACACATTTACACCCTGTCAGTCTGTTGGCCATGGCTTCTGGTGAAGGGTAGGCCTGAGGCTGGTCTGCCATCCATCCACCCCCACCAGCACCGTCCAGTACCAAAGCATGCACAGAAGGACTTTTGTCTTTATCAGGGAGGTGATATGTATACAAGTGTGCGTGTGTGTGCGCAAGGCATGTGGAGGCCAGAGAGCAGCCTTAGTTAGGTGTCCGTCTGGTTTCTGAGGCAGAATCTCTCTCTGGCCCAGAACTTGACAAGGAGGCTGGGCCGGCCGCGCAGGCCTGGGATCCACCTGGTGCTCCTTCCCCGGGCTAGCATGTCACTGTATGCCCCACACCTAATGTTTTTAGGTTCTGGTGATGAACTTGGGTCTTCAAGGTTATGTGGTAAACACTTTACTAATGGAGCTGTGTCCTTGGCCCTTTTGTGTGTTGGCGATAGAATGCCATGTAGCACACACTCAAACTCCCTATGTAGCCGCGGATACCCTTGAACTCCACCTCTCCAGTTCAGATTGTAGGCACGTGCCGCCACGCCCGGGTGTCAGTGGTGGACTGTTACTAACAGGAAACACAGGTACAGTGGCAGTCGGCCTGCTGAAACAGCTCCTGGAATGGAAGCGGGTTACATGACGCACCTATACTTCCTGCCTCCAGCTCCGGCTGCTGGGATTACAGGCATGCACCTCCACATCTGGGTCAGGAGTCTTCAGTGACCCTCCTACACCTACAGGGCACGCCCCCAGACCCCCAGTAGACGCCTGAAATGAAGGCGATGTGAACACTGTCAGGGTAATTGCACACACCGGGCCCGGTGACGAGGCACCCTGGAAGGGACGTGAATTACACACTAGGCATGCATACACTGGACGAGTAATGGTCCGTGCTCCGAACAGGCTGGAGTCAGATTTTTCAGACCCCTCAGAATGGTGCGTATTTTAAATTGTAAATTACTTACCTCTGGAGTGTTCTGTTTTTAGTTGAGATTTCTTTTTATTTTACGGATACGGGTGTTTTGCTTTATCTGTGTACCAAGTGCATGCAGTGCTTTCAGGGGCCAGAAGAGGGCGCGAGATCCCCTGGACCTGGAGTTACAGAAGGTTGTGAGCCAAGGTGTGGGTGCTGGGAACTGAACCCAGGTGCTCTGGGAGAGCAGCCAGTGCTCATAACTGCTGAGCCATCTCTCCAGCACTCTTCTTTCTCTTGATTGCTTTTTGAAACAGAATCTCATCATGTGTCCTGGCTGACCCGGAATGTGCTGTGTCACACAGCCTGACCTTGAAGTCCTGACCCCCTGCCTCCACTCTCCTCTGCTAGGTTTACAGACACATACTGTATTTTTAGAATAATTAGAAATCTCCACTTAATATTTTAGACCAAGGCTTACCACAAGTAACTGAAATGTTGGAATAGGAAGCTACATAGTAGGGAGGGTTCTCTTAGTAACCCCAAGGAGTGGACAGTGACCATCACATACAGCCGTAGACTTTAAAACTTCTTTTAAAATAATCTGTAATATTTATTTAGTGTGTGTATATGTGTTGGGGAGCCTAGGACAAGATGACCTGAAGGGCCTTGGTAAAATGGCCAGTTCAAACCAAGCCTCTGGGCTCTAAAGCATGAAGTTTCTCTCATCCCTCACCTTCTTTTTGCCCCAGGAAGCTCTTGGCTAGTGACCCCTTCTTCCGGGTGCCAGCTGTGGTGCAGGAGCTGTGCACTACGCGTGTGCTGGTCATGGAGCTGGCTGGGGGAATCCCTCTGGACCAGTGCCAGGGCCTGAACCAGGACATCCGGAATCAGGTATGTCTCCTGCAGGACGGACGGGAAGGGCCAGGCATGTGCTTTCTCCGCTGGCCAAGAGGAGCGGGCGGGACACCTCACTGGGATGTGTTCCTCCTCCAGATCTGCCTTCAGCTACTGAGACTGTGTCTGCAAGAGCTGTTTGAATTCAGATTCATGCAGACAGATCCCAACTGGGCCAACTTCCTGTACGATGCCTCCAGCCACCAGGTTGGTTCCTTATATGAATCAGGGTACGTCTGCTAGCTGCTGTACAGAGCATTTCCCCAGGGGCCAGAGAGATGGCTTAGTGGGCAAAGAAGCTTGCTACCAAGCCTGAGGACCCTCAAGTCAGCTTCAGGACACGCGAGGTGGAAAGAGGACTGACTCAGCAAGCCAACTCTGACCTCCACACGCGTGCCGTTCATGATATAATACACCAAAAAACGGTGCTGGAGGGATGGGTCAAAAATTAAGAGCACTGAGTCCATTCCCAGCACCGCCTGGTGGGTCACAACTGTCTATAACTCCAGTTCTAGGGATTTTCAACCATCTACCTCCGTGGCACCAGGCACGCAAGTGGCGCACAGAAGTGCGTGCAGGCACACACGTAAAATAAGTCTGTGAAAGTATGAGTAATGGGTGAGTCAGAGCTACCCCGCGGGGGGGAGCAACAAGCCACGTAGGCCCAAACCACAAACTACAGGACCAGGAACAGGGCCGCGCGCAGCCCAGGCTGGTGAACTCCTGCTCCTGCCTCCACTGGAGCTGCAGACACGTGTCTTCAGGCCTGGCCTCTCTCTATAGCCAAAGCTCTAAATTACAGAACTATACTAGAGACATGTAGAAAGGCGTGCATGGGAATTTCTGGGAAAAAGTAACTTTTAAAATTATTAGTTTTAATGTGTATAAGTACTTTGCCCACATATATGTCTCTGCACATGTGTGTGCAGTGCCTGAGGATGCCAGAAGGGGGCGCTGGATCCCCTGAACTGGACTTAACAGCTGTGCAGCGCTGTGTGGTGCTGGCAGTTGAATCCCTTCCTCTAAAAGACCAGCCAGTTCTCTTTTTTTTTTCCTCAAGTCATTGTATCGTTAATAACATGGCAGTAAGTCGAAGCACGAAGAAAAGAAAGTTAGGATTGTTCTTTCACAGGTGATGCCCTCACTCTGCCTCAGTCATGTAGTGAGATAGGATTCCAGACAGCATGGGAAGCTCCATTTCTCACGGATCGACACGTTCAGTCGGTCACTGCTCTTCACCGCTGAGCCATCTCTCCAGCCCTCAGGAAGTTACTGAATGTTACTAGTTTGAGGAAAGTGATAGCCCTAGAAAAGGCCTCGGGAGTTTGTGGGTGAGGGGAATAAACCCGTGGGCGTGGTTTTCGTATGTTAAGCAGATTTGTGGGCATTCATTTACTTTTTCAGATGCCTTATTTCCGGGTTATCTTATGGGCCCACGATTTGTATTAAAGGTGGCACAGCCTTTAATCCTCCCTCGTACTCAGGAGGCAGAGGAGCCTGGACTGTGAAGGGAGGCCCTCCTTCAACAAACAACAGAAAGAAGGCTGTCACTGAAGTCCAGTCCTAACGCACCCACCTAGGATTGGGGTGGGGAGGGAAGCCTGGCCTCATCCACACACAGCCTGGGGGTGGGGCTCACTGGTGGGCTGCCTGCCCAGAAGTCACCAGTGCGGAGGGGCTGGGTGTGGCTGTGGTCACCAGGGAGGGCCTAGAGATATAGATAAATAGGGCTGAGGAAAGAGGGAGGTGCACCCCAGCTATTTTAGTTGGCAGTGGGGTTGTCCACAGCTCCCCACATTCCCATAATCCCTTGTTCCCAGGTGACCCTACTGGACTTCGGTGCAAGCCGGGCTTTTGGAACAGAGTTCACGGACCATTACATTGAGGTGAGAACCCGGAACCCTGGTGCTTCTGAAGGGCTCAAGCAAGATAGTGAGGTCAGGGCAAGAAGGAAAAGTAAACCGGAATGAAGACGTGCAAGGCTGGACGGGCAGTGATGGCGCACTCCTTCGAAAGAAGGAAAGGAAATGTAACCATCGCCACCTAGTAGACAAGCCTGATGGAAAGAGGCCGGGTAGCCAGGCGCCATGGCGCACACCTGTGATCCCAGCACCCAGGGAGACAGAGGCAGGCGGAGCTCTGTGAGTTTGATGTTAGTCTGGTCTACAAAGCGAATCCAGGACAGCCAGGGCTACACAGAGAAACCATGTCTTAAAAAAATAAAACAAGAAAAGAAAGAAGGAAAGAAAGGGGTCAGGGCTGCTTGGAGACCCATTTTACAGGTGAAGTAACTGAGGCTTTGAGAGAGATTGCTCAAAATCCTAGCAGGCCTGTGACTGGTAGGCAATCTGGGTCCAGAGCTTATGTCCCAAGCCTTGCTCAGCCCCCTTCTGAGAGGAGGGCCAGGAATGGCCACCCTGTCCAGGGTCTGGGTGTCCACCCTGCCCCTCACAGGAGACTGTAGCTCCTCAAGGAGCGCTTCTTTACTTGCTCTGTCCTTCCCTTCCTCCCTTCCCAGTCAGTGTCAGCAGCTACACAGGCCACCTCACTCGTGTCTACACACAACTTGGATTTCCCATTCATCTGGTTGTCACTTAAGACATTCTCTGACAGCCCCTTGGTGCCACCCCTATTCTGGAGGGTACTGGGGACACTCGTCTCCCTAGTACACAGTCCAGTCTGTGTCCCACAGCAGTGGGGCAGTAAGGACACAGACACACCACCGCAGCCCAGCTCAGCACCCTGCACCCATAAGGGCTCAGGACCATCAGCAAGCAGGGGCTCTAGAGCCTCTCTGGCCTTAGTATAGGAGCCAGAAGGAAGGTTCTGACTGGACAGGCAGGAGCTGGGTGGAGCCAGGACATTCTGGGTCCTGCCTCAGACCTTTCTGCAGGAGGCACTGTCTCCTGTGGTACATCCCAACAGATCTGAGGAGAGGAGGAGCCCTGGAGTTAAGAACTCCCTCTGGAGAGCAGGTTGCCTTCATGACTGGTGAGCCCAGGGCAGCTGCGAGAAGTGGCAGAGCAGCCGCTGGGAGGGGCCAGTAGACGCAGGGCCACGGTGCTAACAGTCTTGAAGACAGAGAGACAAGGCGGAAGACCGGCCTGAGCAGGGTCAAGGCCGCTGTAGCTGCTGACGAGGAAGAACTGGCGACATGCACCACACCCCACACCCACACAGGCCACTGAGGCCCAAAGCCAGGTGTCCTGGAGTGCTTGGACCATCCCACTTCTCAACACTCCCTTCCAAAAACTTGGGCCACCTCAACCTTTTCCAACTTAAAAACAAAAACAACAGAGCCTGCTGGATGGATGTGGTGGCCTATAGTCAGAGTCCTTGGGATGCTCAAACAGGACAGGAGTTCAAGGCCAGCCTGGGTTTCATGGTGAGACCCTGTTTATTTTTAAGTGTGTGTATACATGTTACACACACATACACACGTGCTTGCATGCACCATGGAGACACAAATTTGAATCAGCAGGAATCAGTTCTCTCTCCACCTTGCAGGACCCGTGGGAACTGAGGAGAAAATCGTCAGACTTGTCAGTGCCTTTACTGGCTGAACTGTCGTAGTAAATAAAAATGGCTGTTGGGCTATATAATGTTATTATTAGCCCTGTGATTATCCCAGCAGTAAAACACAGAGACCTGTTAGATTTATAACTGCCTTAGTTACCTTGGACCAGGCAGATATTTCACCTACACTGTCTGAATAACCTCACCATCCACCTCCCAGCCCCAACCCAATGCCACCCACCTTAACCGTCTTCATCAGGGCTACCATCTATAACCTCATAAATACTTACCTGTCTTCATTTGGGCCTTTCCACGCTGTTATTGGGGTCCTTTCTCCAGGCCCACCTGGTTCCTTCTTCATGGTAACCCATCATGGAGTCCTTCCACCTCCCTTCCCAACCTTCCATCTGTTTCCCATGCTTCTCCTCTTCCCGAAGCCTAAGAACCTTGGCCACACCTACCCCATTTTTCCTTGCCCCGGTTTTAGGTCTTTTAGTCAACCAATCAGGTATAGTGTCTTAGGATAGGTGTGTCCAGGCAGTCACCAGATCTCGAGGGCCAGTAATTAGTATCAAAATACAAGCCTCAGACCAACCCCAACAGTTTCTCCTTTTCTGTCTAAATAAAAAGGCCATTTTTATACACTAAGAATAATTATGAAACAATTATAAAAAACCAATACGTAAAACCATATACATAATGTCTAGCCTAAATGTATTTGGCAATCTTGAAGAAAATATCTACCCGATTTATGAGAGTCTAAGGTTTTGTACCTGTTATTTTTATAGTAGTTTGTATCTGTCAACCTAAAAACATCTATCTAGACCCAAAACATCTTTTTAATTCCTAAGCAACAAAGCTAGTTGTGAAACTATCTGCTCTTCAACCCCATCAGAGACTTGAGAAGGGGTAAAAGTACTTACCTGAGTAAAAAGGAAGTGTATGTTCGCAGCCTCCAAACTAAAAATTGACAGAGACAGTTTGCTGTCTTTTTTTAAAAAAGAAAAAAAATCATCCATTTATATGGAACCCTAACAGATGGCCAGGCAGCCACAGACAGGGGGAATCTACAACGTAATTGCTAGATTCATCCCAAAGAAAGGATGTGCAGTGGGGCTGGGCTGGGCAGGTTCCTCGCCCTTCTCTGGACCCGGCACCCGGTACAGCTAGAGTAGCCCCAGTGGGGAAGGAACTTCCTCAGCAGCGAAGTGTGGAGCTGCTCACAGGGACCCGCAGAACTACGTTCCTCACTCCCAAGGGAGCTGGTGCAGGTGCTGCCATGCTCCCCCTGCTGGACGGGACTGGAACTGCAGCAGCCCTACAGCAGGGCTAGCCACAGGTCTCCTGCCCAGTGCACCTGGACCCAGCTGGGATCCCTACACCCAAGGGGCTCAAAGTCCGATGGGGACAGCCCTCTGGCAACCTGAGCACCGTTGTCCATCCTTGTCCAGTGTCTAGACCCGTCAACAGATAGGTCTCCCCTCTGTGCCACTCACTGTAGCAGCTCCCAGGCAGTTCTGCATTCTCAGTGGATGGCAGAGCGCCTGGCCATGTCCACCTGCAAGCTCTCAGCAGCCTCCGGGGAGATAGACAGGGAGGGTGAAAACGGAGAGGGATCCAGGTTGGACAAAGTAATCCCCTCCCTCCCTCCTTTCCTTTTAAACAGTGTCACTTGGTAGTCCAGGCTGGCTTTGAACTCCTAGTCCTGATCCCACCTTCTGAGTACTAGGATTGTAGGTATACCCTTCTGGCTGATCTTCCTATTATCTGGAACCTCCATTGTAGCCTGGTGTGGTGGTACAGACCGGTAACCCTTCAACTGCGGCTGGTGGAGGCAGGAAGATCAGGAGTTCCCCGTGATCCTCAGCTACACAGCCTCAAAAACTAGAAGCCCAGAGCTCCCTTGACCCACACTGGTCTTTGTCCTCCTACATTGCAGGTGGTGAAGGCTGCAGCAGATGGAGACAGAGACCGAGTCCTGCAGAAATCCCAGGACCTCAAATTCCTTACAGGCTTTGAAACCAAGGTTGGTTGCCACTGGGGCTGGGGTGTTTGTTGCCGAGTTTTCTTTAGGGGTCTAGTGGCTTTTGGGAATAGAGGAAGAGCCTCTAGCTGTACCAAACAACTTAAGAAGGAATGAGGTTGAAGAGAGCCTTCTGCCCCAGGGGTTCGGGATAACTGACCGCACCAGCGTCTCTGGGGGGGCCCAGGGTGAGGTGGCGGTGCAGCACTGTCTTTCCTGGGGGTCCTGGGTGTGAGGAATAGAGGAGCTACCTGCCTATGGAAGCTGGGGCGCTTTGAGAGTAACTGGGGGGCACTGTGGATAGGGTATCTCCTAGGGTGTCGGGCTAGCAATACAAGCCTTCCACCACTGAGCTACGGCCCCAGCCCCTCACTGGTGGACCCTAGGCAAGTGAGTCATGCCCCAGCCTTTGCCGCTTCTGAAGTAATTAAAGGACGTCATGCATCTGCCATCCCCACCCTAGGCATTCTCTGACGCCCACGTGGAGGCGGTGATGATCCTGGGGGAACCCTTTGCTGCCTCAGGTCCCTACGACTTCGGGGCCAGAGGGACAGCTCGCCGAATACAGGGCCTCATCCCGGTGTTGCTTCGGCACCGGCTGCGCCCACCGCCTGAGGAGACCTATGCTCTGCACCGCAAGCTAGCTGGGGCTTTCTTAGCCTGTGCCCGTCTCCACGCCCACATCGCCTGCCGGGACCTCTTCCAAGACACCTACCAGCGCTACTGGGCCAGCCGCCAGGCATTGCCACCGCCAGCAGACTCCTGACTAGAGGGACCTCCCTGTCGACCCCACCACGATAGACTCCATCCGGGGGTGCCAGCCCCACAGCGGGCGGCCCCCTCCCCCTCTGTCCTGGTCGCAGAGCCTAGTCTCTTGCCTTGGATCTTCGGGCCCTGGAGTTAACCCCCTGATCCAAAGTGGCCATCCTCGAATTCTGAGGCCGGGAGTCAGCAGATTCCTGCCCTGCCACCATCTCAGTGAGCCCTTGGCCCCTTCATGGGGTCCACTCTCATCTTGAGGGAGCGCCCCTCGGCCCCAGGTCTTCCGTGATCCGCACGGAAGGGGAGACTGGTGGCTGGTGGGGGCGGTCCTCACCTCTGCCTCTCCGGCTCCTCTCCCAGCTGCCTTCTTCAGGGGCTCCAGCCTGTGTCTTAGGTGGGGGTGGGTGCTGAGCCTTTCCTCTGAATAAAGGCCTTTCCCTTCCCCCCAGTTCTTTTCTCTCTCTCGCTAAGTGGGAGGAGCTCACAGGCGGCTCCAGGTGCAGATGGCCAGACCCCTCCCCCTTGTCTAGGACCATCTGTTGCGGGGAACCTCCTCTGCCCCCCCCCATGTGCTGACCACCTGCTCCAAAGGCCGTGGCAGCTGAGAAGTACCCTCCTATCACTCATACTGCCCCCCACCCCCAGCTTCAGGCTCCCTCCTGTTCCTGACAACCTCGCCTTTGCTAATGGGCCCTAATGCCCCCACCAGCTGTTTGCCAAACCCACAGGACAGGGGTTGGGGCGCAGCAGAGTCCAGAAGTTGGACCCGGTCCTCACCACCCCATGCCCTCTCCTAGCCAGAGTGAGCTCCCTCCAGGAGGCCGGGGTCCGGTTGCTTCCCCTCCCCGCGCCTGCAAAAAGTGCCTCGTCACCGCTTCTGCCCGCCCCCGCCGGGCTGGGAAAACCGTGGGGTTAAGCAAGATTTGAGGACGTCAAGGCGCCTCCCAATGCAATTCTTCAGAAGCAGAACCATAGGGGATCTGAGGTCAGGGGTTACGGAAGGAGACAACCTGCGCTTGAACCAGAGGCACACCGCTGAGGTTGCCTGCAGGTTCCCGCAAGGCCAGGCCAAGGGGCGGGGCGGGGCGGGGCAGCATCTGCAGAGGAGGAGACGGGGTTGTATTTGTGGGGGGGCGTGGCTGGCGAGGGGCGGGGCACTTTTGCATATACAGCAGGCGGCGGGCCAATGGGCGGGGCCGGGGCGGGGCGCCGAGGGAGGGATGCTCCCCGCCCCCGGAACGGAATCCTCCGGGAGCCGAGCTGGCTCGCGCGCTCGCATCCCGCACCAGCCGCCGGCCCCGGCCCCGGCCCGCGTCAGACCGAGCCGCCGCCGCCGCCACAGCAGCAGCAGCACTCGGGAAGCCGGGCCCAACCGGGGCCGCGGGAGGCGGGGGGCGCCCGGGCCCTGGATGTCCCGCAGCGCGGCGGCCAGCGTGAGAAGGGCGGGCGAGGGGGGCTCGGGCCGGGGGCGGCGCCGCTGCTGATGTGGCGAAGGGTGGGAGGTGGCAGCAGCGCCCGGATGGAGAGAAGATGCCAAGGCTGGAGAAGGGTGGTCCTGGGTGGGGGTCCGGCGCAGGCAATCCCAAACCTGCCAGACTGGGGTTTCCAGCACAGGCCATCTCCGCGAAGGCCCGGGCAATAGAAATCCTGGCATACAGATTCCTCCCAAATCAAGGACAGGGCTACATAAATTCTAGGTACAACTCCCTCGGCAAGGTTTGGCGTTCGGGGTCCGGGACACAGTCCCCTTCATAAAGCTAAGGCCTTAACGCAGCCGATTCCAGACAAAATCAGTACTGTATCCTGCCAAAGGGTTTCTTCGAGCACAACAGCCCCTGGGCGAGGTCTTGAAGATGAGGTCCCTGGATAGCGCTGCCAAGGCCAAGGCTCTGGGGGGTGGGGGGTCGGTTTCCAAGTACTGTCTACTCCCAGGGGTCCTGGATCTGTCCCCCCAAGCCCTTGGGCGGTGTCGCAGGCAAATCCCCTTCTCTAAACAAGGTCCCCGTGTCTGGAACTCCACCCCAGCGTGAGTGAAATAATGAGAATTTCAGGCCCTTCCCCACCCCCACCTCCACCCATGCTTAGTCAGGGGTCTCAAGACATTGGTCTCCTAGGCCACCCCCTTTGTCCCTAGGGCTGCTCAGTTGTCTGAGAGAGGCCCCACCCGGAGACAAAGCTCAGCCTGCCTTTGCCAGACCTAGCCCCCCACCCCCAGACTCCGGGATCCAGCCTGGGCTGGGGGCGGCTCCCCAGGGACTCGGTGGAGACCTGTCCGCAGCTTCCGTGGTGCCCGGCGGCTTTGTGTGTGGCATGGGGGGGGGGGTGAGAAGTGTGACCTGGCGTTGGTGTGACTGTGGCTGTGTGTATGTGTATGCTTGTGTTGCAGCTGGCACGGACGAGGGCTGTGCATGGTTGTGGTTGGATGTGATGGCGTGTGTGTGTGTGTGTGTGTGTGTGTGTGTGTGTGTGTGTGCGCGCGCGCTCGAGCTGTTGTGAGGCTGTGAATGTGAATGACAGCTGCTCACCCTGCAGACTCCTCTACTTTTTAGGTTGTGTTTAAAGAGATGTATGTCTTTTGTAACCCTGTGTGCTCATGTGTGTGTGCGCGCGCCTTGGGACGTGTCAACATCTGTGTTGGGTTTGGGGCTGGACTTACGTGTGGCTGACTGAAGATGTGGGTGGAGCTGTGACTGTGACCCTGTGCCCTGTGTGGCCCAGCGTTGTGCTGGAGCCTGATGTCGTGTACACACACGGGCCGCATGGCGTTCAGTGCGGCTCTGGGTGTGTGGCTGCCGAGTTTGAAGTCACACTGCGCCCGGGCTTGTGGGGTGGTGGTGTGTGTGACTAGGGTTGTAGTCCTCTCTGGTCGGGGGAGGCACTACAGCCTCCTGTGTGTGACCTGAGTTGTGAACTTGACTTCTTATCTGACACTCTTGTCTGTTACGAGGGGTTAATTGTGTGGCTCAAGCTATGGATGGTGCCTGTATGCTCGGGGTATGTACGGGACTGGCTGCTGTTTCCTGTGCGTGTGTGTGTGTGACCCACTTCTCTGTGACCCCGGGTGGCAGCACTGGTGTCCAGGACTGTGAAAGTGTGTGTGTGCACGTGTCTGATTTGGTGGTGACGTTTGCACATGCCTCTGTCCAGGACCGAGTTTTCCCTGTAAGGCCAGGACTTGTGGTGCGGAGAGTTGAGGCGTGTGTGGAAAGTTTCTGTGGGCGAGACCTCGAGTGTTAGCGGGCTGTGACGTGGTGCACCTGTCCACGTGGGGCAGAGACTGATTCGAGGCCACACTCTTGCCTGTGTGACGTGAATCCTCGTGTGAGCGGGGGACACGGTATGGCTGTGTGGGGGACACCCACGTGGCAGATGGCAGGGCTCCGTGGGCACGAAGCTGAGTGTCTCCGTACACAGCTGTGTCTGGAATGTGTGAGGCTGCGGGCAGCCGTCCTGCCCCCCACCTTTGGCTGAGCGTGCGCTGTGTCTGTGATGCTCAGCGTCGTCATTATCGGTGGTGTGTGGCTGTGTGACGGGGGTTGTCACGGGGGAGTGTGTAGTGGATGTAATGACAAATGTGTGTCATTACATTATGTGACAGGCGTGTTGGTGTCACTGATACTGTTGGCGTTGAAATGCCCTTGTGCCAAGCTGTGTGTGCTGGGGTAGGTGGCGGTGGAGGGCGGAGCTTGTGCGAGCAGTGTGCCTCTGTCTGTGTAGGCGTGGGAGTCTACGCAGATGAGATTGTGTCACTGTGTGACCAAGTGGGTGACCACTCTGGATGTGTTTCTACGAGGGTGGGGCCCGAGGAGACACAGGATCACAAGGATGTTGGTCACCCTTGTGCGTGTGCCTGGCCCAGGCCCAGTGTGCAGAGCTGAGAAAATGAGTGCACAGGGTCAGTTGCAGGCGTGAGCAGCGGTCTGTGGTGGGCTGGACACACTGCGTGCACGTGGACAAATGGCCGGAGTCGAACTCTGTGTGCGGCACACAGCACGCGGCCAAATGTTTGGCGGCGTTTGTACCTTGTGACCTGATGTACGAACTGTCTCGGTGTCTGTGTGATAAAGTGTGCAAGTGTGCAGGGCTGTGACCAGGTGCGGAGGAAACTGTTGGATGTCAGGTGTGTGTGCGTGTGTGGACATGACGCTAGAGGGCAACGCCACTCACTCCACACACACACACACACACACACACACACACACACACACACACACGTGGGTACAGTGTCCCGAAACACACCTACTCCTTCCTGGGCCCTTAGAACCAGGTGGCTGGTCTCCCTGGTGACGGTTGCTATGGCTACTGGGGCTCTCACTCGGGAGGGAGCCTGAGATGGAGGGGTTGGCTGAGGTCCGGTGGGGGTGTGAACAGGGGACTGGATCCCCTCCTGAACAAACTTCTCATCCTCTCACTCCCTCCAGCAGGGCGGACCCCGGAGACCTGATCAGCGTTCGTCCCCAGCCCCGTGCGGGGCCTCGGGGCCCCCTGAAACCTTCAGGACGGAGGCAGGTGAGTGACCAGCCTGCCAAGGACGGGCTGCCTCGTACATGGGTCCCGGTCATGGCCAGCGTGGGCAGAGGAGCTGCGAGCCACTGTCAGGTGGCTTCATTGCACGCCCGGTGACCGTCCAAGCCCCCTCCGTCACAGACATACGCCCTAAACTCTCACCTCCAGACACAGCGGTCTCCCTCGAGCAGCGCTGTGTACAGGTTATGCTCTCACACATGCACACACCCAGACCATCAGGCAGCCGTACATTGACGGTTCAACGTGCACACACAGCTGCTCTCCAAACACTTGTCGAAATGCACTGACAAGCACACTTCCTAGTCACAGTAACAGACACATATGTGTGTGCATGCCTACAGACCCTCCCAGACACACAGAGGCAACCACAGCCACTCGCTCCACACCCATTCTGAGATACACACTCAAGAGACATACATGGCCAGATCTGATGCTGCAGGCCCATAACCCCAGCGACTGAGAGGGTCAGGCGTAAGGGTCAGGAGTTCAAGTCTGGCCTCAGCTTCAGAGCAAACTGGAGCCCAGCATGGATGGCATGGACCCAGCTGTAAAGCTGTAAGAGGCGGGTGCCTGCCTGTAACACCAACAGCCAGGAGGCAGAGGCAGGCAAGCAGGACTCGACTTCCTCATCAGCCTGCTCTACAGAGCAACTACTAGGCCAGCCAGAGATGTACAGTAAGACACTGGAAAAAGAAGAGAGCTGACAGCACGCCTGTGATCCCAGCACCGAGAGGCAGAGGCAGGCGGATCTCTGTGAGTTAGAGGCCAGCCTGATCTAGAAAGCCAGTCCAGGACAGCCAGGGCTACAGAGGAACACTGTCTTAAAACAACAACAGAAAAAAAGAAAAAGAAAGAAAGAAGAGGAAGAGGAGAAGCGGAAGAAGAGAATGATCCAGTTTATGGCCCCACTCAGCATGCTCT